GGTTTTCCTTCACAGCAGTGGATTCAGTTGCTGATGAGATGGCTGGACTGCAAAACAGCAGGTCCTCTCTGTATCCTGAGGACTTTCAAAAACACCACATCAAGGGAAGAATATTCACACAGTCACACTTCGTCAGCACTGATGTGTCATCTGTTTCTGTCCTCAGTGGGTCCAATTAAGTATGAAAAACATAGGCTTTCTATAAAACATGAATACATAGCTAAATAAAATCAATTAAGGAGCTAATTGTAAAAACGTTTATTTAAACACGATGTATCTTTGTATTCAAATCATCTTTTTCTTATTCTTTAAAAGGAAAAAAGCATTATTTTTGACAGTGTGCTACACATTTGTAAAAATCCTGCTTTTAAAACTGCATCAAATTTTTGCTATGTGATGTAATTTAGGAGAAAGGATGTCAGCAGCACCACCCTGGGAAGCTGTAGTTCACTTAGGGACTGACATAAACTAAATAATTCTGTTATGATGGGAAATTAAAATAAATCATTATTCATTTTATTCCGATGTTTTTTTTTTTTGCACTCTCTTATTAAAAAAAAAAAGAAAATGCATTTAAATTGGACAAAAGAGATTCAATTTGGGTAAAGATTTTTTTAAGTGTTTTGCTCGAAAACGTATTGACGGCGACCATGGTAACCATTATATGTAAGAGGAAGGAGAAGGGCTTCTGGCCTCCAAGGAACCTTTCTCTCTTCCCCCTATTTCCTCTGTCTTTGGTAAAGACGGAAAAAAATCCTTTCCCTCACAGGACCGCTCCATCGCAACACTGTGATCAATCTTCTCGTCATGTTTGACCCTTCAATCCCTCTACAACTTCCACGATGCTTTGGGTTCACTTCGCGTTTTAGACTTTTCATCCTTTCCTCTGCTGACAAACTTTATAAAGCTCTCAATGCTATTTTCCAGGTGGACTTGGCACCTGCAAACACAGCCAAAGGGACCAAAATCTACTGATGACCAGGCGGAACATCCCTATGTACTTGTTAAATGGTAATTGTACCGGACAAAGGTAGACATGATTTCAGATGACATTACAGGAGCAGTTTACCAAAATGGCTGCGATCATAATGATGTGAAAATGTTCTCAAACAATAGGCTTCATCAGGGCGAGAGCAAGCCGAGTGTTGGCAACGGCAAAGGTAATGCAGTCTTGCTGCTGACGGAGAGGAGTGTGTATGTGTGTGAACTATGGAGTGAGAGAGGAAAAAGGGAAAGTGAGAGCAATATTGTGTGTGTGTGATATGGTGTCTGTGCTGACTGCAGCATTGCGCCAAGGAGAATGGAGGGGGAATAGACCCTACAGAGAGGGAGGAGTGCAGGAAGAGAGGGGGCGGAGTGAGTGAGTAAAAGAGGTGTGTTAAAGTGTGTGCGCGCATGTTTGAGTGTGAAAACAGAAACAATCAGCAGCCGCTCCCATGTTCATTCATCTTTCTCCATTCTTTCCTCCCATTTTCATTTCTTTCTTCTTTGCCCTTTCTTCTTTCTGATTATTGAAGTGTGTGCTCAGGTATCTGCATCCAATTGTGTGCATGTGTGTAAGTGTGAAAGTGTTTTGCAGCTGAGAGAGATAAATTGTTGCAGTGATTTTCTTGAGGGATTGCCACTGGCGTCCTCCGAACTTATCTCCACTACGAAAGCACGATGCAGTCTTTATCTACCACAAATCGACCAAAAGTAAAGTAAAACAGACCCAGGATTTTTCTTCTACATGATTAAAGAAGTTGCTTTGAAATTTAACACTCCATTGAAGCTAATTTTGTGGATGTCTGGCTCGGTTATTCGGAGGCTTTAATCAACTCAAGCAGACTGTAGGGAGCAGTGTTAAAGCTGATACCTGGGAGGACAGTTAATGAAAACCGACAGGAAAATACAGAAGAAACCCTTGGTTTTTATACCCACAGCTGCACACTTTCCTGTATGCGTGCGGCCAAAGCGGGAGGATCCAAAGGTGCGTGGCTGGAGTGCAAAGTGAGATATATGCGTGTGTGTTTCTTATTTCAACGCCCCAGCGTGGGCAGTGCTGGCTCAGCGCTTTCAGCCGGGCCAATTAATTACAGCAGGCGCTGGAGACGGAGCGGCATGAGGAGCACACACTTCCAGGATGAGACACATGTATAATGGCACTGATGCAACAAATGGCCCGAGCTGAGCTGCATTAAGCCTGTTCATTACGAGAGCGTCAGGAGGTTATAGTTCTTTATCTTCTGGAGTCCTGAGATGCAACAGAGAGCTAGGCTGCCGTATCACTGTGCAAAATCCTTTATAATCAGCTCACAAAGAAAAAGAGGGTTTTTTTTTACAGTACATGAAGAACTACTGATATTATTTTCAGATTACACATACATACTGTAGATAAATTAATTCCATGGGAGAAAAAAGGGAATAACTTAGGGTTAGAATTTGGATTCACTCGATGATAGCATACTGAGCCTACTGACACAATCTGACGCCATTCTATAAGACTGATAACCGCTAATAATGGCCCTTTAATGGGATGATAAAATCCGAACAGACTGGAAACAGCCACATTTTCTGTGTAATAGAAAACAGAATCAAACTGAGTAAAATGATGAACAGGTCCTGTCTATTAGAACAACGTTTTTAGACTTCACCTCCTATCAAACGATTTCACCTAAATAGAATATAATGTTATCATGGTCAAAACAACCTATGGCAGGTCATTTTCAGATGTATTAGTTTGACAGAATATGTATTTCTAAAATTTGAAAAAACAAAAAGTTTCCCTTGTCAATATAACCACTTGAAACGAAATGACATTTTTGCTATCAAAGCAAAAAATGTGCAAAAAATGTGCAAAACTAAAATGTGTAAACATTTCTTGGTATATACAACTTAATTCTTTGTAGCACACTTTTGTTTTTTCACTTTTTGATTTTCAGTTTCTGCTGCAAAAGATGTAATTTGGAAAAGGTTTTTTAATTCTGTCTAGGAGTGTGATTTTGACAAGGAAAAATCTTATTTTAGTGGAAATGCAATAACAGAGAGGAGAACGCTCTTAATAAATGTAAATGCAGTGCACTGCATATAAACATACGCAATCTACTACATCTCCCTCTCTTTAGCAGCTGTGGCGCTGTTGCTCTGTGTTTTAAACACATTCTCCAATTTGTTTTGTTTTTTAATTTCTGCATTAAGATCATTTTTCTGTTGTCATGATAACTCGTCACATCTGGGCTCCACTGATAATGGTTTTTCCTACTTGTTACGCACGTGCTCAACTCTAAGTAAACCTACTAAGAGTTGATTAATTAACTCACAGCAGCCTTTATGTAACTGAAAACTAAGAGTTTCCAACTTCATGCTGCATCAATTCAGAGTTGAAGATATGAGTCTGAGTTTGTTAAACCAGGGGTTCTTTGTACCAATACAAAGAACCCCTGGTTATAATAATACTATTTTAATCACTGAACTAGAGTAGACCAGTAAGAAAGCATTTTGCTACAGCTTAATCTTGACCATTTCAGTGCACTTCTCTTAAGGTACAGCAGTCTAGCTGAAACATAAGACATAATAATATTTATTTCAAGCTTTCAAGATTATGAGAAAACAAGAAACTCCATCATTGGTTTGGCAGAGAGTGGCTTTACACTAAAAACTGCACTTAGTCAGCTTTTTTCTATATCCTCTCAAACATGTTTAGCATTATACCAAACATTAACCTGGTTTGCTTCAAAATATGTGTTTTAAGGTGGAAAGTAATTGTTTTAAGTGTTTTCAGTTGTTAATATATTAAACATTATTGTAAAGATTAGAGACCACAATTTCAAAATATGTCAAGACTCCATTCCCTGTGTGTTATGATCCTTAGATTCTCTTGGTTTGTGTTTTGTCCCTGCCAACCAACCCCCACCCCACCCCCGCATTTCTGGTCGGTTTTTAATGTTAATCACAGGCTTCTAACTTTTTTCTATCTGTGTTTGTTATTCAAGTCTTCCTGTTTCTCCATTTTTTAAATTGTAGAATGATTGGTGGCTTCATGCTTTGCCATGGCAGGCCCCAATAAAAACAGATGTTTCTACAGTAGCTTATTGATGTAACACAAAGTCCATAAACTTTTGAAGATCCTAATCAGAGTGAAATTATGATAGAAAAAGAAGTTGATGCCCGTTTACAGAAAATACCAGGCGGCACATTCCCCAGAGCAGAGGACAGCAAAGCAATTGATCTGGTGTACCCAGATTACGCTGAATGAAGTTAAAAATGAGGACAACATTGTAAGTCAGGGAAATTGTGAAAATGCTCTTCAAAATTAATATATTACTGAGGAAGAACTTAGTGCCTATTTAGAAAATATCTCTAAAACGGAGGACATTAAAAGAGATAACTTTGATTCACCCAAATACTTTTGCAAGTTTTCCAACACCTTCAGCAACTGTTGGATGAATGCCACATTACAGAGTTTTCTGAACCTGAGCAATCCAAGAATGTTTATGGCCCAGTATCCTGATGAGGTTTTTGCTGGTTTGTTGGAAGCTCTCTTTTGTGCCAACCTACTCCGTAGAGCTATGAAACACCCAGGGACATATTTTTCCCACAGAAAAAAATGTCACAAGTTCTCATATAAATTTTTAAAAGCTTATTTCCAACAATTCTTGTATAACATCTTTCTTACATTCTATTTTGAAGTTGTCAAATTATCCACTTTGTATTGACACTGTCAATGCAAGGATGTCAAAGTAATTCACTTTTATTCCGTAAAGTTGGTTCCATCATCACCCAATCAAAAGCAGTGGAGAACGACAGTGTAATTTCTCTTTTTAACAGTTGGATTGCGGAGAGACCGCAAGAGTGCAGTGATATTTATATCACAGCAATAAAAGGGCAACAACAAAAAAACAAAAACCCTGGTGAAAACTGTAAAAAAAAAACTATTTGTTCTGGCTTTTTTTGTTTGTTTTTTTTTACAAAAAAAATGTTTTAAACCATGACATAGTAAAAAAAAAAAAAAAAGAAAGAAAGAAATCAAATAGTGATAACAATAAATAAAAATAAAAATGCTGCTTTTAATTAGAGAAATATTACAAAATTACAAAAATAAAATGTAAAAAAATATTTTTAAAAAAATTTAAAAAAATGAACATTCAGTTTTTTTGTTGTTGTTGTTTTTACTTTAAATGATCTTGATAGAGAAATAGAAAAAAAATATGATCATATATTAAGCACAAAAAAGAGTAAGACTATCAGCAGCTTGAAGCTCTCCAACCAACTTTTGAATTAATTATGCAATGCAGAGTCTTCTGGACCTAAATATTGCCAAATATTCTCAGCTCAGTATCCTGACAGGAGTTTTAGAGTCTATCTGCAACTACATTTTACGCTGGTCTTCTCCAAACAGCCATGCGCCTTGCAGAGACATATTTTTCCTTAGAAGAAATCTACCAAGTTCTCACAAAAAAACTACAATAATTCTACCAAGGAAAGAAAAAAAGGAATTTAGATGATAAAAACGAATAACTCTCATACAATGGATGCTGTTTTTTAGTAAAGAAAAAAATATATATATATATATATATATATATATATATATATATATATATATATATATATATATATATTTATTTAATGGTGGGCTGTTATCAACATTAAAGTGCTGCGTTTTCACCCGACTCTTAAATTTTTGCAAAATTAGTAATGTTACAGATCTAAGGTTATGTAAAAGGTAGATCTATTGTTATTTATTTATTAATCTTATTTAAATAAGACGTCCATGGCTGATCTCCATTTATGTGTGTACCTGCTAAGGTCTGAGGTTTCAAGGAGACAGAAGCAGATATACAAAACAAAAATAGAAGCCCTGACCTATAAATACTTTCTATATTAGAAAAGGTAACAGTAAAGTAGCTCAATAGGTGGTTCGGTCTTAGAGAGAGTTAAGCCTACAAGATTTTAGCCAGTTTTTATGTCAAAGCGAAAGCACATAGTTAGTTGAAGTAAAACCTGAGTCCATAGCTATGTCTGAGAGAGAAACAGGACTAAACACTGAAAAGCAGGCCCAACTCTAACATATGAACTCTATCAGAGAACAGGTGCAGTCCATTGGAAACGGGTTCAGATGAGACCAATATTTAAAAAGGAACATAAAGGAATCAGATTATGGAACAGAATAGAGGCGGGACCTGATCTTCATTGTGCTAGATGGTATTCAGATCTAGTGTGATCGCTCATATTACAATGACTGAGCAAAACTCGCCCAGATGAGTCAGCTTAAAGGCATTCCCTGTTTCAATGACCTCGGTAACATCAAACCTGAGCCTCAAGCAGAAATACATAAAAAGATAACTAATTTAATGAGCAGGAAAAGTTTCTTGTTTTTATAAACAGACTGGATAGATTTTTGACTTGCTTAAAACAACCCAAAGCCTTTTCAGTGAGCATTATCTAAACAGAAGGAGTTCATTAGGCTGGAATTAAAAACAGGATTAAGGTAAAAAAAAAAAAAAGCAAACATAGTTGTGGGTGGAGGGCATCTACTCTCTGTTGAAGACTAGATTTTAATGACTTCTAATGATTCTTAAGAACTTTAGAATATAATATATTGGCATAATGGAAGAATGTAAATGTTTTCTTTCCCCTACATTTCAGTACCTTTATGTAAACAAAGAAGTTAAAGAAGAACTAAATATGGAGGGGCAAAAATAATCTACCTGAGCCAGTTTTCTGTGGTGATCTTTTCATTCTAAGCTTCACATCTATTTCTTTTTGGATGACTAAGAGCTGGCCTTTAAGTTAATATATTTCTTCCTTTGAAAAGTTGAACTCACAAAAAATGCAAAACAAATTAATTTTTTGAAAGTGAACTGACCAAAGTATACAGAAAAAACATTGAGGATGGACAATAATAAAGGTTTTGGTACCTTTAGAGCACAGAAGATACATGAGTCCTCCATGCACTTGTGAGTGGTCAGCTGACGAAAGCTTCTCCTGAAGATGTCAAGATGCCACAAAACCTGAAGGATAAAGACACACATTCATTTCTCAGCCAGCAATCTAACTGGAAGCTTTAGGAAAAATCCTTCTCATTGTAAAAGCAAAATGTACCACTTTCTTTATGTTGCATGGGTTTGGAATAACCCCATGATGTTATGGGTTCAGTTGGATTTGCTCCTTTACCGTTATAAACTTTCCTGCAGCTTGATCTTCTGCTCAGGAGGGTATTGCAGCAGTTATTAATAAAACCTTAACCCTTTAAAGCCAAATGTATCATATTTGATACATTAGTTTTTGAGACTTCAGCGTCATCAGTGTTATGTTTATATTCGGACACATGTAGTGAACTGAAACTGTATAAAAGATTATACGGAATTGCCTTATGTATCAAATTTGATGCAAAAAATGATCTAAACTAACTTAAGTTCAATGACATTCTGATTTTGACAAAATTTGAATGTTCTTTCAATTATTTCATGGTCCAGGCTTTAAAGGGTTAAATGTTTATATAGAAGTAGAGATGCATTCAAGCAGACAAAGTGCTATGAAAACATAAGTGCCTCCTTGTCAAAGAAAATTATATAAGTTTATAAAATAATATGTTTTTGAATTTTGCCAACTAAGGGAACTAACTAACCTGGCTCCTTATGTAAACCTTTCTGTGTTAAATGTTCGATCAACAGTGATTAATAACATTTTCCAAGCGAAATCCAGGCCTGATTACTGCCTGACCTTTAGAACTAAGAAATATTAAGAAAAAATCAGTTCAACAATGTGGAGCACACAAGAAAGTCCAGTAATTCAGAAGGTTTGGTAAAACCACAACAAACTGTCCTTCCAATACTGGTGATTATCTGACAAGCTGTGTATCTAATGAGATAAAACATTAAGAAAACTAAAAAAGTAGAGTAGTGATGCTGGCCACCATGACAGTCGGGCATTTCTACGACTTACTGAGGAAAAAAAATTAAATAATAACAAGATGGTGACAATATGAGGTCTGAAAGATGATTGATAAGCTCTCCTTGAACTAGGTTGATTAGAGTGTCTTTGGATCCTAAAGATGTTTATTCAAACCTCCCTGAAACTGAGACGTTTGAATAATCATTTTTAAAAGGAAAATTCTTACCTATATGCAGTATTTACATAAACCTCTTTGCACAGATTAATCTCTTTTCAGATTTTTGTTTCGTGCTCTTTTAAAACACAAGTATGACTAAATTAACGCTGATTAGAGACGTTTCACTTGTATCCTAACAGCAGTTATGTTGAAATAACACCACTGAAATCTGCTGTTCACACTTTTTCCTATCCTGCCAGCTATGCTGATGTTTTTAAAAGCAAGTGTTAGATGGGTCTAAATGTAAATATAACTTATCAAATATATATTTAGTCCTAAGTATGTTATCGTTTGATGTAACCCCTTTCTGAATTTCATACTCAGACCAGAGGAGTGGAAAATACACTGGTTTGCTGCATCATGACCATTTTCTTCAGTTTGAATCTATTTATTTAACATTTTATTTATTTATATTAAAGCATCAACCTGCCATCTGGGAAATTGGTTTGAATGCTTCATGAGTTGGCCCCAATTACTAGACAAATTATTCAGACAGTTACCCTGACTGTTGGCTCTGCAAGATCTGTTCAAATAATGTCGCATTTTATAGTGCATGTGCTCCGCTTTACTGCAAAGCCTGGTGGTACTAGGAGAAGTGTGCAAAAAACGAAGAAAACCAATGATCAATGCAGAGGTCAGACCCAAACAGCTGGAAAACAGCTGCTTTTTGGATATTTTGCTTTTTGTTTTGTCTTTTTGTTTTTTTTTTTGCATCCAGAGTTTTGTTCTACTATGGGAAATACTACTAAGTACAGAGAATGTAATGTTATATACCGTATATTCCATATATTCCAATAATGGCTAGCCAGTTCATTGATAAAATAAATGATTCCCATTTTCAGTTTATGAAGATTACATTTTTGGAAAAAGTGTTGTAAAATATGTTGTGAAACGTTGTTTTAGAAGCATTTTTACAACTTCATTTTATTTGCCCTTTTATTTGAGCCTAAGTCTAAAAGGGGAGGACTGAATAAAAGCTGTTTTTTAAAAGTAATGAATGAATTTTACACTTTTATTGTGAACTTTAAGGTAGAAAAAAAATCAATTAATTTCATCTGGTAGGAAAAGAAATCAGAGTTCCATGTTAACCAGCCCTAATTGTAATATAGGAAAATCTTTGGTTTTGGCATAAAGCAAAGATAGAATTGGGTCCAACACATCCTACTCTCCTGCAGAGGCAGTATAAATGCTCTCATTGACTATGATGGATGCATATTTAATGGTACGTTTGCACCGGAGCCGAGCTGCAAGCACTGGAAATTGTGGGTGAGCAATAAAGCAAGCATCACTGCAAGTTTAAAGCATCCACCTTTCAGGTGTAACTAAGTCGATGTGACATGCTTTTGTAGTAAGGTTTTTTTTTTATATGTGTTTTATATGACTTATATTGTGATCAAAGCAGTTGATGTGAGAGCATTGACCTTTTTTGGCATCATCTTTTCACATAATTAAAACAAAAAGGTCATATACATCAGTCTGAAATGGGTATAAAGTTAGTTTTCCACACGATTACTGTCTGTGACTTTATCTGCAAAAAGTATTTTCCAACAGACAAATATATGTCTCAATTGTAAGAGAGTGAATGAAAAGACTATGCATGTGCAAATTCTTCCATTTAGGTCATGACAACCACAAACAAGCTTAAATCAGAGGCAAATGTAAAACGTTTTGACACCTTCCAAATAAGACCTTGTAAATTTTGACTCCTGGACAGAAAAACACTTCTAGAAAAATGGGGCAAACATCCAGTTGCCTACGATGTAGACCTGCTTGAAATCAAAAGTGTAGGAGTGTGGTTTCAGCCAGCTGGCAGGCAGTGCTACTCTCACATCACTGCTTTCTCTGATATCCAAGACTCTTAAACCCCAACATAAGCAGCAGTAGGTTATTTGCTGTTCTACTACCTCCATTTTTTTAACTTTAATATGAAATACATTTTTTATTTTAACCATTGTAGAAAAAAGGCTTAGCTGCCATGAGTCAGATTATGTTTTAAAAGGTGTGCTATGCAAGTTTTAAAATATTTATTTTCTTTCCCATATACATACCATACAATACAATTGCCTAAAATGTAAAAGGAGCTTTCCTCTATTTGCCGCAGTTGCCGCTATAGGCTCCATTAGTCACTTCATGAGGGAATGATTCAGGACGAATTCTCTGGGCAAGAACAGGGTCTGGGTGCAGACTTGCACTGCCTGCACAACGGGGTCCCCTGCACTATCAGGACTGGAGGTTTATTCTAAGCCTTCAGGAAAAGCGAAAAGCAGATAT